CCTTCTATTATATGCAAAGTACATTGACTTTATTTGTGGTGTTCTCAGGTCACAACCAGTATCTACAATCTAATCCTAGGTAATATATACTGTGACCACCATGGAACAATGCACATACGAGGTAATCGCCAGTACTCATGCAAACTCAAATTCAAGGAGCAGTCTATTCTTGAACGCAATCCTCACCAGGTTTATATGAATTCATTTGCACAAACTTCTAGATGCTATCAACACATTCATTTGACTATTTGTTTCCATTGAACACTTATATTTTCTTAACTATACTGCTGGAACAGGTTCATGGATTTGTTGAAGATGTGACGGGAAAAAAATTTGCTACATTATTTGGAAAATGGGATGAAAACATGTATTTCATAAATGGAGATGGGAATGGCAAGGTGAAAGATAAGTCTGATGCATCTTTATTGTGGAAAAAGAATGAGCCACCTCCAAATTTCACTCGCTACAACTTAACTTCTTTTGCAATTACTCTAAATGAGTTGACACCAGGACTTAAGGTATGGACAATGTATCCACATCCCTCTTTTTTACTTCTCTGTAGTTTATTTTTAGTCGTTGTCTTTTATAACTTCATATGATTTTGGGTATTTGATCACCGATGAAGGAGAAGCTTCCACCTACAGATTCAAGATTAAGACCCGACCAACGACATTTGGAGAATGGGGAATATGATAAGGCCAATGCAGAGAAGCTGCGATTGGAAATGCGACAGAGGATGGTATGTGAAATTCCTATGTGCTATGTGAACCGACTTCTATAGAAAGTTATGACAGTCGAATCTCCACTGTTTTGTGGAACACTGTACTCATGTTAATCCAAATATTTAATATTACAGGCAGTGTACATTGTTCTTTAATTTATAAATTCTTGGACAGATGTAGAGGCCTGTTCACATTTGATGGCGTAGGGGAGGGTGTCCCCAACAGAGTTATTCTCCAAAAATAACGTAGTTTATTGCATGATTTCTTCACTACTTCTGTTGTTTTGTTATATATCACTTTTACCATTATCCATGATGAGGTATCGTCATTTGAATCGTTGTGCTTTGCAATTTTACATTGTATCAGTAAAGGTAACCGATCATTTCCAGGAGGCTTCTACCATGTAATAAAATCACTAATGTCCATAAAATACACCCTTGGTATTACGTAAATTCTCTTTGGTAGTTGGTTTAGGATAATTGTTACAATTGGTGTTGCACTATATATGACTCAGTTGTACCATTTATACTCACGCTCCTCATATCCTCGACAGTCCAGAAAATTACAAGAAAATGGTTGGAAGCCCAGATGGTTTGAAAGAGAAAGTGAAGAAGGATCCTTCCGTTATGTGGGTGGATATTGGGAAGCCCGAGAGCAGGGAAAATGGAATGGATGCCCTAATATTTTTGGTGAAATTAGTGAAGACCTCGTAAATTCCTTTGAATGATCCTGAATTCTGAAAAGGTAAATGGCTTGCCTCAACTTTACAGTTCTTAGTTTACATTGTTAAGGGATAAATATAAAAAAATTATAACCAATGTATAAGGCCTCAAGCCACTTCTCTTAATAATGTTAAACTTTTATGATGAACCCTACGTCTTAGTACAGCATTAGAGCCACTAAGTTCATACGAGCAATTTGATTCGATTAAGACTGAGATGAACATTCGAATTCCAAAATTGATATGTTCAAACGAGTCATCTTCTTGCAGGCTTATGTTAAGGGATAACTCCCATATCAAATAAACTATAAATAATTATATCCAACACGTAAGAACTTTCGCTAGTCCTCTTAATACGGATGACCTTTTAAGATGGAATTCCAAATTATTCTGATCTTATCGTGCAAATTCGTGGCATCCCTCCTCTCATGATGCCTTCCTAGTTTATAGACTTGATGCTCACACAATAGGCATTTTCCTGCTGATTATACTAATATATTCATCTTCGTATCTTGGACTAACAGTATTACTCTGACTTTGCTTCATGTTGCTGGTAAATGCAGGAAACAGAAAAACCTGGAGGGTTGTCGAGCAAACAGACCAAATATTTCTGAGCTTTCCCTGTCCTGGAGATGATGTTCGAGTTGAAA